TGAAAATAGGGATTAGAAGGGAAACTCAACTTTCAAACAGTCGATGGAAAGGCCGAAGACAATGAAGTGTTCAAAACGTTTGATAAGATCGCAGAATCTATTAATAACTTTTTGTCCAAATAATAGCTGAACTGTTAAACACTTTACTTTTACAACATTTTCTCAATTTTTTTATAAAATTCATTAAATGATACAAGACAGAAAGTGAAAAATGTATGGGTGAGTGAGGGAGTGAGTGAGTGAGTGAATGGGGGAGTGAGTGAGTGAGAGAGAGAGAGAGAGAGAGAGAGAGGTCTAAATAAACAAGAATTTGCTCATTTAATATTTTTAGTATCATTTATATTATTATAAATTATATTATTATACGTATTCTTCAATTGTAAACATTATTTTATAATTCAATTTTTACTACAGTATTATAAAAAATAATACTATATTTTAGTTTTAATCTTTACTTATATTTTTAAAACATATATTAAACGTTTTTAAATATTTTTAATTTTTATTAAAAGTATCCGAATGTTACTAAAAAAATTAAATGCTTATTTTCATTTATATTCAAATGACTTTCAATAATGTTATCGTACTTTAAACTGCTAACTTATTATACATGTTGGCACTAATGCAAACATCTTTTTAATGATAAAGGGAAACAATTAAAAGTTAAGTAATAATAAATTGATTATCAGTCAATAGACTGGAAAATGAAAAATACAAATATTTTCTTTCTTTAAAGTTAATTACATTCTAAAGTTAAATGCAAAAATATTTTTATTTGTATGCCTAGATAATTTAAATTTAACATATCAAATAGGCAAAGGTAGACTTGTCGAAATGCTGTTATTTACGGAAAATTAATGTATTTTAAGGTTTAGGAAAAGTTTTTCAAGGTTTCAGAGTTTTAAATTTGCTTATATTTTAAAAAATATATCTACTGAATTTAATAATATTTTTGTTTATTTAATTAAAATCTTTTGAAGCATAATTGTTTTGATTTTCATTTAATATTCAAATGACTTTCAATAATGTTTACGTTCTTTAACACTACTAACTTACTTGTTAGTAAGACACTGGTGATAATAAAATTTAATAGTAAAAGGAAATAAAGGTAGAGTAATAATAAATTGATTATCAGTTAATGAAATTGTAATTATAGATTATTAAACAGGCATTAAACATAATGAATATTTAAAATAATGACTCGCAAGTGCATTTTTAGCACAATTTTGTAAACACTTTAAATTAGTATAATTTATAATAATGTAAAAATATTATCATATTTTAATAATATCAAATATATTTATAAAATTAATACAATATAAATAATAAAATTAAAACCATTATTTAATACTAAATTAAATTAAATTTCCAATACATAACAACAAACTAGAACAGAATGGTCAAAAATAACCATATTACAACATTTATAATATTCTCAAAAATCTTACAAAAATTCAATAATATTTTACGAGTTGAAAGTATAGGAAAGTTTAAAATAATTAGAAAATGTGAAAAAATAATAAATAAAATTAATAATTACTGTGGATTATTTATTAAGTTAGGGGAACCAGGTACTAACAATCAATTCCAATTTCTCATGTTTGCATTACAATCATATACTCAAAAATTAGTAAACCATTGAAATGTTTTACTACATTAGAATGGATTGAATAACTTTTTGTTGAGGTATTAAAACTGATTACACCCTGAGATGAATGGCTCGAAGGTATAATAAAATAATAAAATGATATTTTAATAGCAACAGTGAAATCAGTACTTCCCAAACACGGACTCAGTTATCAGAAATGTGTGATCACCACAATTCACAAAATGACAATTTTTTGGGAAAAACAAACTCTAATTCTTTTCTAATTATAGTTTAAATAAGATATTATTATCTGTTACAAACAAAAAACATTTTGGCTTTACAACAGTTTTACACCATTTAATTCGTGATTTGAATATTAAATTTGTTTATTATATTCATTATTTATTTCCCAGAATTAATTGCCGCATATTGTAGCGTAAATTTTATAGTATTCTTTCATCATTTTTAATGACCATTATAATTATAAATTCAACTTTTTATGAATTTTATGACATATTAATAATTTTGGTTTTTATTTTATTTCAAGAAGTAGTATTACACAAGATTGTTTACTTTAGGAAAATTTTAAAAATCTTACTGTAAAATAACATATTTTTCCATAATTACATAAATTTATACAAATATGTTTCTATTGTTATCCTATTTTTAGTTTATTTGCGTTTATTATTATTATTGTCTAGAGAGCGATTAATATATTTATAGATTTCTAATTGTACTTTAAACACAATTATAATACATAACAGCTCGTGGAGTGTCATAAACCTGACATTGGCTTTGTATTCAAAAACCTATCCAATATTGAAGGTCAATTCAGAGATAATTATTGTTTTGTGTGTTTGGATTCAATATTTCTTACGTCAGATACCAGTTCACCACTCAATGATTGATACAATTTTCTGTTATTATATTACCCTCTCTTTACTCCCAAACCCTATACTCTCTAATTAAGAATTTTGTATCAAATTTCCCCAGAATTTCGTGTTATGTATAAATCATTTGAAACGAGTATTGAGTCTTACATTTAAAAATATGGAAATTTTCAAACACTTAATGGAATAAAAAATTGCGCAAAGTATTCTACCATATAATAAAAATAAAACATTATTATAGTTTAATAACACTTTTTCCGATACATTATATAATTGACGGATTTTTATGACGAGAGGTTTTCCAATAAATATATTCCCATTTTTTTGAACCAATAAAATTAGATTCTCTTAAACACCAAAACATAAACTTATCATTTAATGAACCCTTTGATTGAACAAAGAATTTTAGATTTCTCTATAAATACGATAAACTTTTTAAATAAAATACTTATTAATGTTTGGCACCAAGAATTGTCATTTCATTTAATGTTATCTAGATTCTTTACATTCAATTCAAGTGTATTTCAATTCAAACCATTCTTTCAATATTAATATAATACTGTTCATCATTTAATTATAATTCATTAATATATTTATCATTATTATAAAATTAATTCAATAAATACTCACAAAAACAATGGAAACAAAGAAACGATTTACGCCTCAAGTGATTGACGAAGACTTAGTGATCAGTGGAATGAGTGGTCGGTTCCCGGAATCCAATTCCACCGACGAGTTCGCACAGAATCTCTACAATAATGTCGATATGATTACGGATGACAACCGGCGATGGCCTTCAGGTAAGACCACTCTTATAGTCACACATTATTCCCATTCCTCTAAATATCCCCAAACTTTCCAGAGATGTATGGAATGGACCAAAGGATGGGTAAACTGAAAGATATCGAAAAATTTGACGGAAACTTCTTTGGGGTGATGGCCGCTGTGGGCGATAAGATTGATCCACACCTGAGGATACTTATGGAGACCACATACGAGGCTATAGTGGACGCCGGTATTAACCCGCAGACACTCCGGGGTTCAAATACTGGGGTTTATATCGGATACTCGACGTTCGGAATGCCTGAAGGACTTCCCGAGGAGGTGCAGCCCGACTCCCAGACCAATATGGCGGAAACCCTGTTATGGGTGCAGGGTCAGGCCAAGTGCCTCTACTCCAACCGACTGTCATTCGTGTTTGACTTGAGGGGTCCGTCCGTTATCATGGATACGGCCTGTTCTTCCAGTTTAGTGGCTTTCAATACAGCCATCAATGACTTGAGATTAGGTATGAATTATCACCACTTTTTATGATTTCATTTCAATTAAGCTATACCATGATTACATTAGATACTATTTAGGAAATAGTGTGTCATTAATACAAGAATCTGGAATAATAATCATATGTTAAACTACCTGTACCATTATAGCTCATTCATTTCTAGCTTAAAAACTATCAAACTGTAAATAAATGTTACATTTCATAATGAAATTTTCAATCAGACTTTGTTGGCGCTATTCACAAAATACTTTCGAGTTATAATAGTCAAAAATTAATCCCACAAGTTTATCCATTCATATAGATTTATATTAGATTCCTCCCTTTCCCATACATGTATTTTTGAATACCTTCACCTTATTTGCAAAGTTATTCTATGAAATAATTAAAAGTTCACTTTCACTGCAATTGTCAGTGAGAACCGGTTTTCTAATTGAATTTTATTGACGAGAATGTTATGCAGTGAAGTGAATTAGTTACTAGAAGGAGCTATATGTGGTGATTAAATGATAATGATTATATTAATAACCCTGGTCGTTTGTAGGCAAGTGTGACCGGGCTATAGTTGGCGGCACTAACGTGAATCTGCAGCCCTTCACGAACCACATCTTCCAAGTGACTCGACTTAACTCTAGTGATGGCGTTCCCAAAGTGTGGGACCAGAATGCGGACGGATTCGTGAGGGGAGAGACCATCGCCTGCTTCCTCATACAGAGGAGGTCTCTGGCGAAGCGAGTCTACGCCACTGTCTTGAACTCCGGGGTCAACATCGATGGCAACAAAAGGATGGGAATGTTTTTCCCCTCAACTGAGAGACAACAGGAGCTCATGATTCAGGTCTACAAAGAGGCGAATGTGGATCCGCTGGAAGTGAACTACTTTGAAGCCCACGCCACGGGTACTAAGGTTTGTGCCATTCATTGCCATTCAGTGATCATATCTACAATAAGTGATGCGTGTGTTTAGGTGGGCGACCCCCAGGAGGCCAAGGCTATTTACAACGCCTACTGTTTTTTGCCCAAAAGAGAGGGAACTCTACCCATCGGTCTGTTGAAGAGCAACATCGGTCACGCGGAGGGGGCGTCAGGCGTGTCGTCGGTCACCAAAGTGTTGATTTCATACGAGAATGAATGCATTCCAGCGAACCTTCATCTCAATAAAATCAAGTCCACGATCGCAGACATGTGTCCGCCACTGGTGCCCATCACCGAGAATATGAAATATACTCCGGGTATGAATGCAATGACATCAAGAATATTTTCAAATAACTTATCAAGTTATAAAATACTGATTTAGGTATCGCTGGAGTGAACAACTTTGGAGTGGGAGGTGTGAACGCACACGCATTGCTTGAACCCAACTATAAGCTCACGGATGCGGACAGCCTTAAGATTGCCGACACTATCCCCAGGATTGTCAACATCTGCGCCCGAACTGAGGAGGCGTTGAACCAAATGTTTGACTTCATTCAAAACAATCCTCAAAAGATAACACGAGATTTTTTGGCCCTTTTGTGCGATACTATGAAAACTCACACTTCTTTAAACACTGTTGGCTTTCCTTATAGAGGTAAGACATACGGACAAAGGTTATATGATTTTTAAAATTAAAATACATATAATTTCTGAATTTAGGCTCAATTTTCATCAAACAAGTGAACGACGATAAGAATCAAATTGAATACAGAAGACAATCGTCTGTCTTGAAGACTAGGAATGTGAGACCCGTTTGGTTCCTATTCCCCGGTCTGGGAGGACAATGGGTTGGTATGGCTAAGGCTTTGATGCCAATCAAGATATTTGCCGATAAAATAGAAGAATGCCATGAAATACTCAAACCATTTGGTGTGGATTTGAAACATTTATTATTATCTGACGATAAGAAGTCCATGTCGTCGATGACCAACAAATTCTGTGCGACAACTGCTCTCGAAATAGCACTCTTTGATGTCATGAAAGCACTCGACATAACGCCCGACGGTATTATCGGTCACTCTTTCGGTGAAATAGCGGCCGCTTATGCCGACGGATGTCTCACCACTAAAGAAGCGCTTATTGTGACATATATTAGAGGACATGTAACCGAAAGCGATAAGAAAATACCGAAAGGATTGATGGCTGTGGTGGGTATGACTTGGAGTGAGGTTAAGAAGCTGTGTCCTCCCGGTGTGAGTGTTGTCTGCAATAATGCAAAGGATTCTGTTGTAGTCTCAGGTATTTATTAACATAATTTTGATATATTCTTCTATTTCTCAAACTTATTATTTGTAACAAATTCAGGCATTTATGACGAAACTAAGCAATTGGTTGAATCGCTTCAGAAAAAGGGTGTCTTTGTTCGCGAGCTCGAGAGCCACGGAATCCCATACCATAGCGAATATCTCTTAACTTGTGCTCAACGAATGACCGATGAAATCAAGAAATATTTACCTAACCCTCGACTTAGATCCAAGAAATTCATTTCAACTGCGATTCTGGAATCAGATGTGAAGGAAGAGTTGAAATACGCTTCGGCCGAGTATTTCGTCCATAACCTCATTAGTCCCGTCTATTTCTACAACAAAATCCCTCAAATACCTGGCGATGCCATTGTCGTAGAGATCGGACCTCACGCTCTGTTCTCCAAATTAGTGACACAATCTCTGGAGTCATCCACTTATCTGTCATTAATTAAAAAGGATTCAAACGATACAAATCTGGATATGTTTTTGACATCAATGGGCAAACTCTATGAATTGGGATTAAATCCTGCCATCGAGAACCTGTACCCCAAAGTCCAATGGCCTGTGGCCAGAGGTACTCAATCCATCAGCTCTTTGTTGAGTTGGGATCACTCCGACAACTATTATGTCCGCCGATATCCTGACCATCACTTCAAAACCAATGCTTCAGATATGAATGAATCCTTATCACTGTCGCAGTCATTCAAATGCCATTTACCCGACCATTGCATCGACGGTAACGTCATATTCCCGGCCACAGGGTATCTGATGCTTGTGTGGAGACATTTGGCCGCATCTCGCGGTCGACTCTGGAATCAAATACCGGTTGTCTTTGAAGACATTCAGTTCAGAAGAGCTGTGTTTTTATCGGAAACAGAGACCACTAAACTGAAAATCAAACTTTTTGAACAAACAGGTAATAAATATTTAGATAAATAAAGTTATATAACAATTATAATAAAAATCTATATTTTAGGTGAGTTTGTTGTCCTCGAGAACAACAACATCTCGTGTTTGGGTCGAGTCCGGTGTCCGGACGAAGACGTATTGTGTGTCCAGAATCTGATTGAAGAGCAGAATAGCGTTGCGAATGAAATGGAGATCAGTATTGATGCAAATGATATCTACAAAGACCTGAGAATAATGGGCTACGATTACGGACCACTATTTAGAGGTCTTAAGAATATTAAGACTAATGACTTCCAAACTATGAATGGAAGCGTTCAATGGGACGGAAATTGGGTCACTTTTATGGACTCATTGCTGCAGACAATGGCAGTCGCCATGCCGTTCAGAAAAATGATGGTTCCGGTGATGATTAAGTCGTTGAAATGCAATCCAAAGGTACTCTACGAGGCGTTGGATAGGAATCGAGTCGATGAAGACAAGGAACGGATTCAGGAGAAGATAGTGGAAGATATAGAGCACAATAAGATGGAGTCCAGCGATGAGGGACTTCTGGAGGGAAATAACTCTCAGCAGTTGTTGGAAGAGTTCGCTGAACAGAAGTTTCACGTCTATAAGGCTGTCCTCCCATTTCATGTCGATATGACCTCCAGAATGATTGTCACATACGGTGTCGAGATTGAAGATCTCATGGCATTACCCATCCCTCGCAGGACTAATATCCTTGACTTGAAGCTCGAGTCCTATCAGTTTGTTGCCAACGAAGACCATAACGCTATCAATGACTTCAATCGCAATCATATTTATGAATACATAAAGGTTTGCAGTAAGTTATCACAAAAAGTTAAGCAAATGCTTGGTTTGGACTATAATTATGTAAACAATAGTGAGATTACAGAAGATTTGATCCAAAATTATTTGAATAATATAAAAGATGATCAAATTATGCTCAAGATTTTTGATAATTTGTTAAAAATTATCAATAATTCAAATGATGAGAACCTAAATTTGGACAAAAAGTTAGCCAATTCTAAGGCCAGCGCTTTTATATGTGACATCAAGAATAGGCCTGAATTTGACTTATCATTGGATGTCATAAACCAGACCTCAAAGAATGAATACCTGATTCGCTCGCTTCTGGATATCGTCAGTGAGAATAATGTCCCCAAAAAAGAGATGAATGTTTTGGAAATTAACGTAACAAACGGACTGATGGCCATAGAAGTGGACCACCATTTGGCCTCTTCTCATATCTATCCAATTGATGTCAACTATACTATTGCTGTCAAATCTATTGATGGCTTACACGAAGACTTCAAGAAACAGTCGTTTAAATTGAATGAATGGAATCACAAGAAGAATGTCTTTCCATTAGACATATCGCCGAAGGATTTGATTATTTTTAATGATTCGCATGACTTATATGACATCAAAATTGAAGATCACATCCAAGAGATATATGACACGCTGACAGACAACGCATTCATGATATCTGTTTTTCGCACAAAACTCACGGAACCGGAGATGGCTTTGAATTCAATGAATGGTAAAAAGTATTTAACAAACAATGACTTAGAGAAGAGAGTCACCGACTTCTTGGGCGCCTCCAAAAAGATTGGATTTACTCTAATTAGCAGTAAATTTGATTCATTTGGTTCAATGGCTTTACTTTTCAAAAAGGTTTTCACTACACCTATGGCTCCAAAAGAAAATCAAATTATTGAAATTAATTCCGATTATAAGAATTGGTTTGAATTACTCAAAGAAAAATTGAAACAAAATAATGAAAGTGAAGAAAATAAGGAGAATATATGGCTTATCGCTAATGATTCAGCTATTAATGGCATCATTGGTCTCGTGAATTGTCTGCGTTTAGAGCCGGGAGGAGAGACTATTCGTTGTCTCTTTGATGTCGATAATCTGATATCACATCCCATTGATTTCAATACTAAACCCTTTTCTGATATCGTGACAAATGATTTGGCTATAAATGTGCTGAAAAACGGAAAGATCGGGACTTATAGACACTTCGCTTTACCAAAAGATTACGACAAATCCGATTCAAGCGACTATTTCTTAAATGTGGGCCATAATAGAGATCTGTCGAGTTTGCAGTGGTATGACTTCAAGAATATTGTGTCCAAGGAATCCAATTATGACATTTCAAACAACGTTATCAAACAAATTCATTGCGATGTCTATACATCTGGCATTAACTTTCGTGACGTCATGTTTGCAACAGGTATTTGAATTAGTTTATAAAAGTTAAAATTAAATATAACTAATTAAATATAAAATAATTGAATTAAATTAAAGGCCGAATCGCTTCGGGACCACAACTGCTATTCACTGATTGTTTGATTGGCTTTGAGTTCGCGGGCCGTCGGAGTGATACCGGAGAAAGAGTTTGTGGTTTCGATATGAGTCGATGTTTTGCCACATCTATCAATGTTAACGAAAAGTTAATATCAGCCATACCCGAGCACTGGTCTATGGAGGACGCGGTCACTATACTAAGTACTTATAGTACTGTTTGGTACGGACTCATAGAAAGGGCACAACTCAAGAAAAGTAATATTTTTAATTATATTTGACTTGAATTGGAAATTAAATATCTATTTTGGAAACAGATGAAAGCATTCTCATCCATTCGGGCGCCGGTGGTGTAGGACAGGCGGCTATAAGAGTTTGTCAGTTCTATGACTGCGATATCTTCGTAACTGTTGGCACAGAAGAGAAAAAGAAGTTTTTGATGACTGAATACAATATCCCAGAGAACAGAATATTCAGTTCAAGAGATATTCAGTTTAAGTACAGAATCAAGTCTCTGACTAAAGGAAAGGGAGTCAATCTGGTGCTCAACTCACTGACGGGTGAAAAACTTGAGGCCAGTTATGAATGCGTTGCAGATTGCGGTCGGTTTGTAGAGATCGGCAAATATGACCTCCAAATGAACAAACAGTTGGGAATGTTTTCATTCCTCAGAGATATCTCTTTCATCGGAGATGCGTTGCAGATTGCGGTCGGTTTGTAGAGATCGGCAAATATGACCTCCAAATGAACAAACAGTTGGGAATGTTTTCATTCCTCAGAGATATCTCTTTCATCGCAGTATCAGTCGATAGGAAATTATATTTTGAAGAGGGATTTATCGATAGATTCTACGATTGGATGCATAAGAACTCCAACAACGGAATGATTAAACCAATCAATAGGACTGTCTTTAAGGCAGAAGACGCTGAAAAGGCATTCCGTTATATGACAACCGGTAAACATATGGGAAAAATAGTTATTAAGACGAGAGACGAAGAAAGTGATAAAACTGCTATTCGTGTAATAAATGCGACCAACACTTTGAAGGTGACATCAAAGACATACTTTGATCCAAACAAGACTTATATAATAACCGGAGGTTTGGGTGGCTTTGGTATGGAATTAGTCCATTGGATGCTTTTCTTAGGCGCCCGAAAATTTGTGTTGACCTCAAGATTTGGTGCAAAACAAGATTATCAGAAGTATGTGTTGAACAGAATCGCATCCATGGGTGAAAACTTCAAAATGTTTGGGACAGAGATTGTTATATCAACCCATGATTCTAATACACTGGAAGGCAGTCGACAACTCTTAGCCGAAGCGAGTAAATTGGGTCCAATCGGTGGTGTCTTTCATTTGGCTCTTGTCCTCAACGACTGTCTCATTGAGAATCAAACTTATGATAAATTCCAGGAAACTATTGATTCAAAAACACGAACGTTTGAAAATATGGATAAAATAACACGAGAGTTGAGCATAAATTTGGATTACTTTGTGGTGTTTTCATCGGTGAGTTGTGGTAAAGGAAACGCCGGACAATCCAACTATGGTTTCGCTAACTCTGTCTGCGAACACATCTGTGAGTCCAGACGTAGGGATGGATTACACGGTTTGGCCATTCAATGGGGACCTATCGGTGACGTCGGAGTCCTCGCAGAAACAGATGTCGTCAGCTCTTTGGCTGGAATTGTGAAACAGAGAATCAATTCTTGTTTAGATATTTTGGATAAATTGCTTCAATCACGCGAAGCGATTGTCTCTTGTGTTGTAAGTTTTATATGAAATATTTTTTAGGACATCCATTATTTTAGATTTTAATTCAATTTATTATCAATTTATAGGTAAGAGCTAAGAGAGTGACCCAATCGGGTACTCGTGAGGCAAGAATTGTGGCCCAGATATGGCAGGCATTAGGGATAGATCCCAAGACAACACCCGAACACTTAACTCTGGGTGAGATCGGTATGGAGTCTATGTTTGCCATAGAATTACAACAGGGATTGGAAAGGGATTATGACATAAAGTTAACATTAAATGACATCAAAAACATAACCATCAAAAATATGAAAGACTTTGAAATGGGAAAAGTGGAGGTCTTTCGGCAATACACTAAAGACATTCGTATTGCGAGAGAAAAGTTGAGTAAAATTAAGTTTATTATTCCCGATGAGAGTCACACCAAACTTAATAGTGTGACGACTGGAAAGCCGGTCTATTTCTTGCCTCCACTCGAAGGCATATTTGCATCACTGGAAGGGTTGGCCAATAAGATAGACCGACCCGTCATTGGTCTCAATTGGATCAAAGATATGGAGAAAATGGCTTCTCTTAAGGAGATCAGCAGATATTACACTCAACTCATGAAAACTCTTGAGCCCAAAGGTGACTACGATATTGTGGGACACTTTTATGGAGCACTCATAGCCACGAAAATGCTTAAGAAGGCACCGATAGGTCGGGCAGTAATCATAGACTCATTATCTGAGACACAAGTGAACGAAGAGATGCTAACCGACGAGTATTTACTTGAATTGATCGTCAAATTTATTTCAAAGGATTTGCCACAAGTAGTGAAGGATAAGCTGCTGAGAGACATGAAAACGGGCGGTGATGTGGACACCAAACTGAGTAAACTTAGTTTTGAAATCAAAGACTTTGTCGGCAAAAGCCTTATGAGTAAACATTTGGACGAAATTCTGAGGAATTCATTCAAAAGAGCAAAATTATTCACTACTTATCGACTGAACATGAAAAACAAATTGAAACAAATGAAGTACAGCGTCGGCAAAAAGTATCTGCAAATGAGCGGAAAGTTACTAATTATTAAACCCTTTGAGACAATCGGTGATAATATCGAGGAAGACATTACTGAACGCATTAAGGATTCATATTTTCTGCCAGAAAAGGTTTGTTAGTTTGTAATACTATACTGTAATAATGTTATCATAATTTTAATGATCAATATTTTACTTTTTTCACAAAAGGGATTGGAAGGAAAACTAAACTTTCAAAAAGTTAATGAAAATCCGGATGATCTGGCGTTTGATAAAATCGCTGAAAGCATTAATCAATATTTAAATTCTAAAAAGTAGTTTCCATTATTACTATCTTATTATAACACTTATAATTATTACTCATTTATGTTATCATTAATTCATTAATTATATTTTTATAATGGTTTGAATATTTAAAGTACTGAAAAAATACTCAATAAAATACACTTGAATTCTCTAATTGTTTACATTTTATTGGAAAATATGGATTTCAATGAACTGTATTTTCCAGATATCGTAACAAATCTGAAAGAATAGGATCCAAAGCACAAACAAATTGGCCAAATGGGCGCCGACTATCACATTCTGGAGCAATGGGATCCATACTTGTCTAATAGATGGTGGACTGGCCACTAAATATGACATCAGACAGTCTGTCATCACTTTGCTCTTCGCCGATTCAATAGACTTGCAGATGAGGGCTGTGATGAACAAAACAATCACCAAATAAGCCGTGATTTGCGATGAATTGTGTCTCCAATAGCCTTCCAAAGAATTCCTCACAATTTGAAGTCTGATTTTGTAGCGACTCTTACAGACTGAACACATGTAAAGAATACCAGAGGTTTGGATCCATGTCTTGAGACACTGTTTGTGAATGTACTGCAAATAAATACACAAACAGTGTCTCAAGACATGGATCACATTCTTAACATACTTTCATAGTCCCCGAGCATTTACATGGACTCAATAGCTCGCCGGCGGTCACACCTTCACCACAAAAGCGACACTCTTTTACTTCTGCTGTTTGTCTTTGTATGGCATTCATTGGATCCGTTATTAGTTTTATGAATTGATGGATAAATGTCTTGAATTTATGTCATAATTTTGTAATTTTAAATGAGTTTACATCATATCGTTTAAATCAATGATAACATTACGCTAATGAATAAAAGTTAGCGCGAGATTCACATTAAAACATTGAGTTTTGGTAAATGAAAATATAATATTTATGGTAAATTTGATTCAAAAGATTCGGTACATATCACTAAGATTTAACAACTTTTATCAACATTATGATTGTATTACAGACTTGCATTTTATTTACAAAAACTTTAATTTTTTGTCCGCATTCATCACAAAATTAGATACAAATGGTCAGGCTATTTGTTAACTTTTTAACCCTATTAATATTGGTCCCGTGCAATAATTAGCCTCTTTTATTTGATACTCTACTAATGAATAGCAATTATAATGTTAACAATGAACTGTAAAAATGCAATCAATAACCGATTCACGAGATAATGCCTTAAATTACAAAATAATTAATTTTCTGTTACTTTTAGAATTTATAATTCATTTTATTTTGACATTTATTCTGTGAAACCATTATAAAGAGATAAAAATGAGATCTTATGTGTTAGTTATTGGTTTACTATGTGTTTTGAATGCAATATTAGCTCAAGAATTCTGCTCCGATTCCAATGGATTAAAAAATGTGTTTTTTATGGGAGATTATAATTACATGAAAAGAGAGTCATTATATGGCGACAAACAAAGTTATTACAGACAAGTAGTCAATAAGACATTCAAAGGCGTCCAAACCAGGGGGTGGGACCCTTATTTCAGATCCAATAGTATGTATTTCAAATATCATCACTCAATTCTGTGGCAATTGAGTTATCATTTCAAGCCATAACTTATATGACATTAAATTTGGTCACACAATACACGACTTATAAGCATTGAACCCATTATTTCAGATATGATGTCAATTACCGGTATAACCGCATTTGCAATCACGAGTATTCCGGACACTTGTGGCACTCAATCTGATTGTGCAAAGTTGCTAAACAAGGGCTTCATTATCGGCACTTCATCTCAATTGTCTTCACCTCAGTCTTCTTATACTGCCTATGAATTGCAAGTGATTGGAGGCATTTATTCATACTCACCGATGGCACAGGGATCTCACTTGCCATACAATTTGCAGTCACACGGATCCGCTCGTGGGTCACCCTTTTGGCCGTCTCAACAGACATACCCCATCGTTGCGTCCGCTTATGATCACTACAATTATCAGATAATTCACGTCATCAGTGAAAAGCTATACTTCGGTACCATTAGAGACACAACCATTGATTGGCACGAAGCCGACGCTACCCAAGTGCTGGCGTCCAAAACCATCGCCAATATACACATCAATGGTTTTGTTCACTACGAGAGTCAGACCTATGCGGTGATCACCGACGCCGACCAGATGTCGGTGTCTAATGAGACACAGCCAGAGATGATGGTATATACGGGTCAATACAAATTCGCGGCACAGGTATTGAAAGGAGTTTTATATAATTCATACATTTATATAATTATCTTATAATGACTGCAGACTAATGTGACACTTGAAGATGACATATATGGCTGTCGAGTGAGAGTGGGAGGCAATGTTGGTACTCATGAGGGATCACCAATTCCTGGCGCACCTAAACCAACGCCAACTCTTGAAAATAGCTACACATGGCTTTGGATACTATTACCTATTTTGGTCATCATTTTGATTGTTATTTTTGTTTTTGTGGTCATTTCAGTGGTTGGTGTCAAGAAAGCTGACAAAAAGCTCAAAGTTAGCGAACAAACGAAACAAACCAAAGAAAGTAATACAAAGAAAAGTCCGACACAAAGGACTGAGACAACCACTGAAACCCTTTAACATATATTCACTTATTTCAAAGTTTTATTATACTTATTGTCACAATTATTACTTGAATTATCAAAATAAATAATATTTTTAAAAATGAAATCCAGTTCAAACATAAATCTATAATATAACTTATTACAAAATAATTAACCATTCTTACTGTTAGTTATTCACTTTCATTCCTATATGTACCATATATTCATCGGTATGTCTAAGCTTTAGACTCAAAAGTGTCTTGTTTTGTACATTCGTTGTAATCAATTTCAATTCAATCAAAACTCATTCAAACCGACCGCTAATTCAATGTTTGTTTATCTAAAAGTCAAGATAAAAGTGTCATAATTTAACTTTTTAAATACCATTTCTTAAAAATACAATTTCTACTCACTTTTTATGATAATGTCGATAAATTACTACCGTATAACTAGCAGTACACTACTATCGATAAATAACTAACTACTTAACACATATTTTTCATTAAATATTTAATATTGAATATGAATACGAGCAAGGTCAACTAGCGATCATTGCTGTTGATATAAAACTACCAATTAATATGATTGTGACAATTTCTAAAGTTTAAATGATTTAGATTTTGAATAATTCAAATAAATAACTTTCAGTCAATAAAACTAAAAAGTTATAAAAGGTTTTAATAGCTTGATAATTTACAATTAATTAGAGTTCATTAAATAGTAATTTTGGTTAAAAAGTCAAATAATTAAATAATAAAATCAATGGATATATTGATAAAAGTTTGAGTAATAATACATTTGCATTATTTGCCAAAATCGCGATTCAATTGAATGTAAAAAATAAATAAATGCGAGAAATAGAGAGCAATAAATACAATAAGTGGTAAATTAATAGCGCCGTCGTTGCCGTCCATATAGTAGGGGTCCAACTGTGGGGTCAGTATGTAATCCACGACCGACGTGTCCTCCTGTCCGTACAAATGGTCTAAGTTTTTCATCCAATTCTGTGACACATTATTCGTTGCCATCCATTGTCTCAGTTCTGACCGAAACTCTTCGGAATCACAGCACGAGATCTCTTGAATGGCGATCGCATCCAAACACAAGACAGAGCCGTAAATGCATAAAATTATGAGCAAATAGTGGACACAAGTCATGCTTTATATCTCCCACAACTAGACTATCATAAAACTCACTCTTAATTCAATTGAAATGACCCTCTGGTTGAGAGACAACACACAGACAAAAGTGTTTTTATCTCACATCTAAAGTATAAGTAAAAAATGTCAAATATCTCAACTTTTGCATTAGGAATGCATTAATTGAAAACTTTCAATACATTGTAATTCAAATCAACTATTTGTTAATTTGATTTTCCCTTCAATGCTATCATATTATTCATTGGACTAATGGTCTGAAACTGAATGATGAGCTGGTGTTTGGTTTCTGAATCCTTCACAATATTATTCGCTATATATTTGCTATTAATATATTGATATCTGTATGGAATAACATAAATAAATGTAATTATTATTGAAAAACAGTCTGTTATTATATATAACTAATATCAGTCACTATATTTATAACTGATTGAGCTATTGGTTAAATGTATAATTATTTTTGTAACTTAACTATACAGTAGATATACTGAACTATTAAATCCTATTTTTGTATTCCTATATCAATATACTTAGCAAACAATTCCAACATATCATTATTGTGTATTAAATTTCAATGACATGTTAGACTAATAAATAACAAAATACATCTTTTTTGAAATATAGATTAGGAACTGAAAACATATTTTAATCATTTGATTGATTAAAATGCAGAACTGATTTCATAATCACTTTCAGTCAAGAGATTATTAAATTAAGAGTACATAATACCTTTACATTCAAGTAATTTATATTAAATATTTTGCTAAGAGCATTTTAATTTTATTTTCATTGAACTTTAGATTCTATTAACTTTTAATTAAGTATAAAAATATTTTATATAAGTAAACATTAAACAAACAAATATTTATACAAACATATTGGTGATATTTATAGCATTATAAATTTTATATTTAATTTTATTTTATTAAAATGTACAAAAATTTATGCAAATAATAAAAATATTATATCAACCTTAATTTACCACTATTAAGGATGAGCCTGGTAGTTTATAATAAATGAATGATTGGTATAGTCTATAGTATTTGGGTGGTGGGATATGGGAAGCATTTATGAAATAGGTTCAAAAACAATTATTGTATTCATAATATTAATACACAAAATGGTTGGTTAAAAATATACTAATTTATATATTCAATTAAAATCACTAATAATTAATAAATAAGTTCTATTAACTCAAGTGTTAAGAAAATGTCACAAATTTTAATAATTAAGCAATAATCTGTGCAATGTTTGAAAACGTCATTCAAATATGAAATAAGTAACTAATTATTAATTTAAATTTCATTATAAACATCTTTATGTTTAAATACTTTAAATAATATGAGCAACTTTCTGGTCATTCTTTAGCATTTTATAATATTTAAATCACAACTAATAAGTATAATCAATAGATTTAGAAAATTTATTTAATGATTCATTTGAGGAATCAATCGTAAATAATTGTGGAGAAAATTCACTGATTAAGTGCCCGGATCCTCAGTACTTGTTGTGTTTTAATGATATTTACACTGTAGATACATGTAGTTAAGAGTTTACAAAACTATTTCAAACTAAACCTCTTTTCAGATGAGACGCAAGTGAAGGCACGGGTTATACCGAAAGTCACTCTCAATAACGGCCAACAAATGCCAATCATTACGTTAGGGACGTATCCAAT